CTTCCATACTCCAAAGCTCTATAAAAGCCAAGAGTGTGACTGGCTACAGTCTCTGAAATGTTACTCATTTAGGGCACCTCATTTTGCTGTTTGTTTGTTTGTTTGGAATGTGTGTTCTCAAGTCCCCATATGTCACCACCAAGGGCAGAGAGTCTGCTGGAGCAGACCCACAGAGGCTGGCTTCTGTGGTTAATGAGATCCTCCTGTCTCCTGCTCTTTCCCACCGTGCCATTCATGAAGTCCATTCCCAGTGACTTGCAGGCCTAGGGCCATCACTGGAGGGAGTGCGACGTGGCAGAATCACATTTCTGCTGTCATCTCAGTATCTTTGAGTGAAAATGAACATCTGGGCAGGCATTTGAAGAAAGACGTTGTAAAGAGTAACACATAGTTGAAGGGGGCATGTAGAGGGAGGAAGAGCCCTATCTCTTCTTTTTTGGAAAACAGGTGACAATTAATGTGTGTCTGATCGTGTGTCCCTGAGTTTTAGCTCATTCTCTAACTTCCTGGTGGAATTCCCTTTTTCTATATCTATAATTCTTCTTATATATTTTAGAGCTAGTGAAAAGTTCTATAAGATATAGGGACTCAGGTATTCACTGGCATGACTTCAGGTGCTCTAAGAAAGCATACACCTGTGTAAGCCGGTTACTTGACCTGACTGATCTTGCGGGACATGAACCTATCATCATGATTTGCACATAGAAAGTTACTGATAAATGTCTGATGAATAAAGGTATGATCATAGTTTCAATTCCACATTTTCTGCATTTATGGTCTCTCATCTTGATCTTCTGGAATAAGCTCGTTGTTATCTTTATTATTAGTGATCTTGGAGATGTCTAAGGTCACTCCAATTGAGCAATATTTTATCTAATTATATAACACATATAAGGAACCTAAGGGAATTTGAGAAAGGAATGTGAGTGGGAAACTGTTAAAATATAACACTTTCTTATTTATTTATAAGTTACATCTTTGGAAGAATACAGTTATTACATCAGATAATCCTAAATGTCAGGAAGTTTTTAAGCTGAGAATATTTTCATATTTTTGTTATATGGAGAAATTGGAACAGGAAGGGTTAGAGCTAATTCTATATGTAGAGAGTTGCTGGCATGAATGATTTTGGAATGTAAATAGTTCCGGCGTAGCAGGCCCTATGGTCTCTGTCATAAGTGCTTTGTTCTAATACTAAAGCAGCCATAAACAATACATTAACGAACGAGTGGTACTATTTTTCAATAAAACCTTATTTATGGACAACAAAATTTAAATTTTATAAAACTTTCACATAGCACAAAATATTCTTTTGATTTTCTCCCACCAATCATTTGCTCACAGGTCCTAAAAAAACAGATGGTAGGCTAGATTTGACCCAGAGGCATGGTTGGCAAGCTCCTGTTCTAGGACCAAAAACACAGAAATAGTCTTATTGGCTTAAGTCTTTTTGGGCAATCAAAGTCATCAGATTGTTTTGGTAAATATCAGAGACCTCAGATTAAGGAGGAAGAGGAACTATACTTCAATAGTTCAATTCTTACATAACCTTCTTATCTAGTAATATGTCAGAAAGAAAGCAAAACTCAGCCTAAATTCCACCACACATTTGAGGTGCCCCGATCCTGTGTGCTTAGGGACGTTGACATGGTCTCTCTCCACGCACTCAAAACACTTTGCATGGAAAATTTACTCTTTCTGCAGTAGGATTTTTCAACATTCAGATGATTTTGCCATCTCTTCACTTTCTCTCTTTATGCTTGTCAATCTCTGTCTCTCCATCTTTCTAGTTTTCTTTCTGCCAGAGACCTATAGAAATGAGAAAGGAACTAACTTGTTGAAGACACTTTCAGTTTTATAAAAATTCCAAATCTGCTTTGAATTAATAAGGCAGTCTCTTACATATATCTCTATGACCCTACACACACACATGCACACATGCACGCACGCATGAGCAAAATAATTTTGGTTTAAAGTTGTCTCACTAAGTAAGTATCTTTCTGTTTTTATTTATCACTTGACATAAAATACTGATTTTCTTGGACTGATTAGAGATTATAATATCTCCAATCCAATCTAATTTTATGAATGTAGATCCATGGTTTTTTTTTTCCCCACCAATATTCAAAATACAACTATTTCCCTCAGGTCATAAAAAGTTTATTTTCTTTTGGTCATTTTTTAATTTTTTAATTTTTTTTTTTTTTTTTACCAAATCTCCATACATTTTGTTGTAGACTCAGCTGTAATGATTCAAAAGTAGAATGCAGCCCTGATGCACTAAATCTTGAGTAATGAATATTTTATACATGCATAATAAAGTAGCAAATGGAGCAGGGGGAAATAAGGAATAGAATAGGGGGATTAAAAAATGTTTGTAACAAGTCAGAAAAAAGAACATTCTGCAGAGTTGTTAATACTATATATCCATTCAATCTGGATGGTTTTGTCCTTATTGGTTAGACTTGATATTTTATAAAAAGAAAATTGGTGATTTGTGAACTATTTGCTTTAGATAAAGCCATACTTATTCCTTCCCAGTGTGTTAAACTCTAGAACTATGTTTCTCAGTGGGATGTGAATATCAGAATCACTTGGGGAAAATTATTTAAAATTTACGTTCTATCCCTCTCCATTTTTGTAACTCAGCACCTTCAAATCAGAACTGATCAGACACACCTGTCGTTGAACACGCTGAATTATCACTAGCTGCAGTAAGTGGGACTACGCCGTGGAGAACTATGGGGTTTCTCAATAAGGACTTCAAGAGAATCTGTTATAGGATTTAGATTTTGTTTGGGTGATTTAGGGGAGGGTTCAGAGAAGCAGGGCTTCAGACTACATTGGATGCTATCAGAAAGCAGAGGTACTTCTATAATAATGTATTTCAATAAATCTGACCAACAAGGAAGGAGACTAGTAAGAAGATTAATCTGTTAATGGTCAAAAAGTGCCAGGCACTTATTTGCCCAAGACAGGAGGTATTCAGTACCTTTTGGATGGCATAGTGACCTTGTTTTTATCTGTGCTTAGACACAATTTTGAAGTACCCTTGTTTTGTTGCATTTTATCATGGTCTGAGAGTAATTTGTCTGACGTTGGTATTCTGTGAGATTGTTTAGGTGAAATAGACTGTCATGACCTACTAGGGAGTGCCAGGCTGCCTTCTGAATGTCAAGGGCAGCTTTTTTTTTTTTTTTTTTTAAATATCTACCTGCAACTCTCCTTTCTAGCACAACTGTAGTGGCTACTATATTTTAATGTAATATTTCCAAGTTTTTATTACAAAATATTTTAAATGCACAGAAAAATAAAGATAATATAATAATCACCACATATCCATCAAACTACTTAAAAAATAAAAAATTACAGAAAAAAGTATTTGAGTATTTCTCTCTAATCCTAATTCCTCCTAGGAGGGAACCATTATCTTGAATTTGATGTTTATCATTCTCAAGTATAATGTGTTTTCATTTTCTTTCATATACATATGATATTTCATGGTCTCCTTCCCTTCTAGGAATTATGTAAGTTCTAACATTAATCTAGACTGTGATCACTTCTTTTTAAAATTCTGGGGTAGTTTTAAGTAGGTACTAAAGCATCAAACTACATGAGGAACTGTGAGACACCCTATATAGCACACAGAGTCATAGGACATAATTTTATATAAGTACTGTTAAACATTATAAATGAATTTTAATCACCATATCAAGTACATTTGGTTTTCAATGACCTATTGTGACTTTGGTAACAGGGCAATTTGTTGATTTTACTTAGCAAGATGTTAGGTGGATTTTTCTTCCCCCCTCCATAGGCTCTGCTGTACATTTTTAACACTAACAGAGCTGCATCAATTGGAAATGCACATTTTATGCAATGATAGACCATTTTAATTTCATGAAGCAAAGGTTTGGCTCCTACTTGCAGATAGCACTGAAGAAAGCAATATTGTCAAAACAAGTGGCTTGGTATACCCAGAGATGAATCTGTTGAATTAAATAACAAGACTTTCATTACCTTTTACTTTACATTTCCAAATAACATAAGCATTAATTAAACCCATCGATGCCTTCCTCCTTGCAGGCAAACATTTTCTCTGACAAGAAATGTCAACTAAGGGAATGTGTGGCACAGGAGACCTGCCATTAAAAACATACTCACTTTCACCCAGAGAAAAGCTGATGCATTCTGACAGATGGACAGGCACAAAGAGAACACAAGGAATGATTCCCAACTTTTTTTGCCCTTGCTGTCTAAGACTTATGGTGATGGGACTGAATGCCTTTTGCCTTACTTGAGGTTTTCAAAGATAAGCACACTATAACTGCGTTGTGTCTCTTGTCACCTGGTGTTATTTTGTACATTTGAAATAAAAGCAGAAAATTGCCATGGTCTTCTGAGGTCTTTAATATACCTTCATTGACATGACTGGGACAGGAAATAAATATCAGATGTCTTACTTAGTCTGTTTGTCTGCTATAACAAAAATACCATAAACCGGTATTTTAAATAACTATATTATAAACAGCACACATTTATTCTCACAATTCTGAAGACTGGGAAGTCCAAGATCATGATGTTGACAGATTCAGTGTCTGGTGAAAGCCTGCTCCCTAGTTCACAAATACCATCTTTTTGCTGTTTTCTCACATGGTGGAGGGAATGAATTAGCTTTCTGAGGTCTCTTTTATTTGACACTAATCCCATTCGTGACCTAATCACCTCCCAAAGGCTTCAGCTCCTAATATCATCACCTTGGGGATTAGGATTTTCACGTGTGAATTGAGTGGGGGCCACAAGCATTCAGACCACAGCATCAGGTTCAACGTAAGTCCAACATGTTGGAAATGTTATGTACACTGAGGCACAGATAAAGTCCGTGGGGATGGTTGCAGAGGCTAACGGAACAAGGACCCCAGGATTTGAGGGAAATGTGAGAGAAGCGAATTTCCTGACGTTCTCATCATTTCATCCTGACATTTACCTTCTCATTGCAGGGGAACACTTAAGAATCTGTCCTCAAGAATATACATGCTGCACCACGGAAATGGAAGACAAGTTAAGCCAGCAAAGCAAACTCGAGTTCGAAAACCTTGTGGAGGAGACGAGTCATTTTGTGCGCACCACTTTCGTGTCCAGGCACAAGAAATTTGACGGTAGGTGAAACAGTTTCCACTTCACTTTGTTATAGGTGCACTTTTCTATGAGAATCTCGGTTTTATATGAAAAACATTTTTTTTTTAAGTGGGAGCTTTTCTTTTCATTTTAAACATTTATAACTTAAAAAAAAAACATGAGCTTTCTTGACAATTTTAATAGTTATAGCTGGGAAAAATCTGAGTTAACAAAGAGCTGTTTTGCATTTGTGGTTTGCTGTGAGAATTATCCTGAAAGATTTAGCTCAATTTTTCATTATTAGAGTGATTCTAATTCAGGTTTTGTCATACCATTGCTTGTCTTCAGTTTTCATCTGGGGATTTTCTTTAAAATAATTAAATGTCATTTAAAATTATTTGAAATGTAACAACACTTTTAAGGAGACAGGCATGTTTTAACTGCCAGTGACATGGTCTCCTTTATTTTAGAATTTGCCCTTCTGATGATGTAGCCACATTTTACATTGCAGTTGCAGTGCTTTCTGCGTAAGGTTTAAACCCTCTATTGATTTCCTGATTATACGCAATTGAGTTCAATTCTATATTCTATTTGTTAAATAAACCTTTTGTATCAGAAAGTGCAAAGAGTGAAAGTAATTATTACTAGGATTTCAGCATTGAATTTTCTCATCGGAGGCTCAGAAAAATATTTAAAAGCAATCTGATTTTTATAAGCTGAATTAGTAAGGATAAAGTTAATATTCTTAAGTGATGCATAGCTTTTAGAGCTTTAAGAAATGAATGTACCTTACTATGACTCATTGTAAACGAGACTTGCAACTTGTGGTGAACTTTCCTCGTGCGCCTTTGGTCATATTAAGTTGCCCTAGGGCAACAGAACTGCCATTCATGTTCTCCACCCTCTTTAGTCAAGGAATAACAGAGCCAGTGTGGAAAAGTCTTGCCAAAGCTTTTCTTTTTCTTTTTTTTTCCCCTCTGTAGTAGGTAAAGTGTTCTGCCTCATTGCTGTTTTAAGCTAGTATAACAACACCAATTTCTTTCAAATCAGTCCTCCAAGTTCTAAAAGGCAGTCCACCCAGTGGTGTTTTCAGTACTCAAGATGATGTGGCATTTTCCATGTAACTGAATGGGACTTATATTTCCTGCAAGTATGTTTCAACATCCTCACATTCTTCCTCTGCCTCTCACTCTGTGTTCAACTTTATATGTGGATGTATATGGAAATAATTCCTTACTTAGAAGTGATGCTATGAATGTTGTTCCCTTGAATGCAGCTAGGGAGTACTTGGGAGTCACCCTCGATTGACAAATCACAAACCCAGTGACATTCAGGAGCCCCTGAAGGGGCTCAGTATTTGAGGAACTATAATGTATCACTTCAAATTGAGGCCAATTGAGACATGTATCGTTTGTTACAGAAAGCAGGTTAGAGCGATCTGCTGATGCTGACTTCTACCTAGGTCTTGGAAAAACAACTCTAGTGCTTTTATAAAACTGTAATCTAAAATTAGGTTGAAATAATTTCAGGGCAGTATCCATGGTACATAGAGAGTGTGTGTGTGTGTGTGTGTGTGTGTGTGTGTGTGTGTGTGTGTGTGTATTCCTTTTAATAAAAATATTAGATATAAGGTAGCTTTATGGAGAGTTGATTTTTTTTAAAAAATGAGTAAAGATATTCAACAAGACTGAGCCAGATACTTCTTTTATTCTCATATAAATGGCTGTTAATATCTTTGGATTTACAATTTGTAATCCCAGATCTCATTTATTTTACTGAAGAAACACACCTTTTTTTTTTTCTTTCTCGCTCTCCTTTTTTTACAGGTGTGTTTTAAATCATGCTAATGTACATAGGGGCATTATGTCTATCAGTTTGACAGGACATTGATTTTTGCTAAGATTAGATCTGACATAGAGGGTGATGGATTCTTTAGTAACAGTGTGTTTCATTTCAGTTGCATTAGTCTGGGATGGGAGAGGAATTAAGACCTTTTTTCAAGGAAGGTTTCATCCAGATTTTTTTTTTTAACACCTACAACACCTGGTCTTCCTAGGTGGTCTCCCATCCAAGTACTAATCAGGCCCAACCTAGCTTAGCTTCCGAGATCAGAGGGGAGAGGGCATGTTCAGGGTAGCATGGCCATAGACCAGATTTTTTTTTTTTTTTTTCCAATCTATATGTGATCCTAGTAAGCTCAGCTAATGAAGAGGTCAGTATTAAAAATAAATAATTATAAAAACATGTAAATTAATAAATCACCATTTTAGTTTCTGCCCGTTCTTTAGGCAATTTCATGAAGGTCAGTCATGTAATTGTACGTCTTATCTTCTTATACCTAGAAAATGATCCTGCTAAGTCATCTTTCAGAAATACTGGTTCAGTGATGTTGGTAGCTTTCCATTTTTTCTTGCTTACCTTTTATTTTTTTAAACACTTCCTCATGACATTTATTGATGAGTGCAAGTTGGTGCGAGTACAGAAGAACTATCTAGGATCAGTTGTGGAATGTTACCCTCTGAGTCTTATCTCTCCCAATAGAACCAGTGGTACTCTGAGGGACTTTACATTTTATTTTTCAAAAAAGTGACTGAGTAGATCACGTTCTAGGGATAAGGAGATAGTCAAATAAGTCATTTGTATTCTGTGAGTTATTTTACATCATTGCTGGGCTCTCATGATCCAAAGTTTCCATTTTACGTTTCTGTCTCTGGTCTGCTTTCTTAGAGATCTTGATTTGTCATTTTGATTTTGCATGTCTTTATTGGCTATGTGTACTTTATTGTATAAATGACGACTATATTATATGAAAAGGTGACCTTCTATTTTCATTAAGTATAGCAACAATTTAAATTGTATCTGACATATGTGATTCCATACAAACTATATTCAGAGAGGCCAGATTCAATCACTGTTAATAATTAATCCATAGTTTTCGTTTTCTTTATTATACTGGAAACGTTTTGAATCAATTTTGCTTTTCATTTGTGACAGAGGTGACTTTTAAAATTTGAAATTCCAAAACATTTAACATAATGTAACATTGTATTTATTGTCATAGTCTTTTCTAGTTTCTATTATTATCTTTGGTAATAATTAGAAGATAACACTGTATGAAATTGTAAATATTCATTGGCTGGTTGGAAGCTAAACCTAAATTAATGTGAATTCTTCCCAAATTTCCTAAATGGTCAAGATTTTCTCTATATACTTAGCCTAAAATAGGTAGCTGAGAGGCAATAAATTAAAAAAAAAAAATGTTTCTGAGAGAAAACAAATCTAAAAAAGTATATAATACGAATTGCAGAAATTTTCATTCTTTGGTTGATAATTTTCTTATAACTGAGTAGCTTCTTTTTTCTTTTAAAACATAGAATTATAAAGTTATGATGAGTATATATAAAATAGATGTTTATGTCTTGGCATTGGTGCTTCTCCAAATGCCCCACGGGTTTTGTTTTTGTTTTTGCTTTTCTTTTCCTTTTTTTTCTGGCCAAATCATCACCTCTGGTTTGCATTATACATTCCTGCAAGCCCCTCACCCTGCTGGCCAGGACCTGGCCACTGCAAAGATTCCCTGAGAATTATACAAGGATGCTTTCAATTTGCTCAATAACCAAGCCCAGATTTTCTGTCATACCCAAGGGGTTACAGTATGGATGAACACCCAGCCAGGTACATCTGGTGGAATGATCATAAAATTATTACCTTACTTCTTACCTTTCTCACCTCTGCCAAACCACCCATATAGCCAGAAGGACACAAAACCGATAAATTATATAAAAATACAGGAAAAGGGAGGGACATCTTTTGCACTCCCTCATTTCCCTAGCATTTTTCTGTTTCGTGACTGACCTTTCAAATTGGCATCTGTGTCTAAATCTCAATGGCTGTCATATGTTTCAGTGGCTGATTCATTAAGATCCTAAGAAAATGGAGAACAATCCAACACTTTGATAGTAGTAATAGTAATAATAGACAACACCTGGCCTGTACCTCACCCTTTACAGATGTTAACCTATTTACCAGGGGTGAACTGCAGTACAAAGTCACACAGATAGTGGCAGAGTCAGCATTCTGTCCCAAGCTGAGCACTCCTGAATCCAGGCTCTTAGTCACCACCACTTATTATCTCTTGAGTGCTTTCCAGTCCCTAAATATGCTGAGATTTCATGATAAGCAGCATCTGTTCCTTTATTTCTCTCTGCCTGTCCTGCCCCAGTTATTGTGGGGAGGAGGTGGAAATGTCTTTCAGAGAAAAATGGAAGAAGAGTTTTCTAATCTTTAAAAAAAGAAAATTACCCACGTAAATATAATCCAGCCCCTAAGGATCCTGGAGCTCAGAGAGGGTACATGACTTGCCAAGTTTCCACCGAAATGATGAAACTAAGGCTGTAATCTAATTTTCTTGACTTACATCAGACTTAAATAGTAAAGTGATAGGAAGTCAATATTTGGTTGAAATTCTAACTAACATTTTATTTGTTTTGAGTGAACACTGGCTAAAAATCACTGATATTTCTTTAACGAGGTAATAATGATATCGATGGGTAAAGAATTTAGCCACATTTTTGGTAAAGGGGGAACAATATTCACTTGGAAGTTATCCCTAAATTAAAGGGAAATGAGTGTTTTGTGCAAAAGTGTTGTTGAATAAATGAAGGCATGTTGTTTATTGTCCTTACCTCACAAAGGTTAATCTCCTCTATGTGGTTGTGGGCATCTGCACCTATTCTCCAGGAACACGCATGGAATATGGATTATTCAGAGACAGGAAAATTTAGTTGAAGGGATCTTTTACTTTGGTTATTATTTTTTTCTTCGGATTTATTTGAGCTGAAATTTGTTCACATTGAAACTCAATATGAGATATATTTTTTTCGTTCAGTGTGTTCTTCTTGGTCTTATCATTTTTCTCTCCTTCCTGGTTTTTATTTATGTATTTTAATGATATACATTTGTCTAGAGATTTTGGCAGCAGGTGTATTTTTAAAAGCAGAAAAAGGGCAGTAATTTCCATCCTTGTGAAGAACTTGTTCTA